GCCATAGTTTGGAGTTGATTTGAAGATTAAAAAGGGTTAAATGGTTTGAATAGGTTAAAATAACATATTTAAACATTAAAGGGAATTTAGGTCAACCTAGGTTAACTTGGTCAACCAGGCTGGCCCAGGACCCAAATTTGGGCTCAACAAGCTTGGTTTGATGTTTTGAGTCTATTGGAGGTGGTTCTATGATTTGGAAAGGTCAATTTGGTCAAAATGTCTGTTTTGACCTTAAAGAGCATGTTTGGTCAACCTTGATTGACTTGATCAACTAGGTTGACCCAGGTCTGAAAATGGGCTCAATCAATTTGAAATGACATTTGGAGACTATTGGAGGTGGTCTCCAGGTCTGGGGAGGTCAAATTAGTCAAAATGCCTGTTTTGACCCTTAAGGGCCTGTTTTGGTCAAAAAGGTCGATCTGGTCAAAAAGGCTTGACCAGGGTCAGAGCTTGATTCCAATGCACTCCTAAGGGTGATTAGGATGCATTGGAAGAGGTTCTGGAGTTTGATTTGAAAAGGGTATGTTGAAGTCTTAGAAAAACTTCAAAATTGCCCTGAAAGGGTATTTTGATTATTTTGACCCCTGGTCAACTGGGGGTTAGGTTTAGTCTACCAAAGTACAATTTAATGTTCAATAGGTCATAATCAAGGGTTTGGAGGTGATTATAGGCTTTGGAGAAAGCTCTAAGATCAAAATCTTCTTAATGGCAAGTCCAGTGGCATGGGCTGTAAATATTTAAAGGTTTTACAACCTTTGAATTTTAATTTAGATTCTAGGTTAGAGACCTCAAAATGAGCTCAAATTTAGAGGGTAGTCTCTAGAGACATGTCCCATCAGTATGCAACTGACAAACCCTAAATCAGAGGTCATTTGATAGGGTTTTGAAGTGTTTGAAAATTCACTGTAAAAGACCTTTAGGACAAGGCTTCTAGACTTTGGATTTGAGTCTAGATTTTGGATTTGATCTGAATTTTGAGTTTGATTGATTAAGTTTGAGTATCCAAATCATCTATAATCATTTGGGTGATCATTAATGATTGGATAGGATCAGCACTAACTCACAGGTATGATCAATATTTGAACTGGAGTCTGAGTTCTGAACTGGGTTGGATTTTGGATTTTCATTGAGGCTTGAATTGAATTTAGGTCTGGATTGACTTGGGGTTAGGATTGCTCTGTAATATGGATGGATCCTTAATGACATCATACAAAAATGAGGTCAACAGGTACACAATGATACATAGCGATGCACAGTGGTACACAATAGCGATACACATCAACAATACATAGCAATATACAATAAAAAAAACTCATTTCTCACAGAGTTTTTGTAATACACATCTGTGAAAAAGCTGAGAAAGCTTTAAAATGAACAAAAAATATCATTGAAAATTTTATGCAACTAATTTATAGAAGCAAGCATTCTCCCGCTAGGGGATATAAACATTGCTTTTACAATAGCAAATCATGAATTAAAATAACTTACAAACTTTAAAAATAAGCGGGATTTCAGAATTACACTTACAACCGGCCAAGGGGCGCTTCCCCCTTGGGCCGCCGGCATTGTCACGCCCCAAGATCTAACTTGGAAAGAATGTCAATCAATTACTCAAACAATTTACCAGAGTTATCTAAAACCTTCAATTAAACGGTCTATCAAACATCTATGAAATTTAAAACATCAATATACAAGTCGATTCATATCTCAAAAAGTCATGTACAAAACTCAGGAACTATACTAAAATCACTAGTACTAAAATCTATCCTGAGTACAAAAGAATCACTATCAATCAAAAGACAAAAACCTGAAGATCCGGATCAATTCCTATCTTCTAATCGATCGTCCTGGACGGTTCCCAGAACTTTTCTCAGGACGATATTTTGAACAGTACAGATCGGCCTGGACGATCTAACTATCGTCCCGGACGATCCTGGGAGGAAAATCCAAGCTAGAGAGGAACAGTAAGGGAACGAGGTCTCACAGGCATATTCCCTAAGTGTACAGAAAAAGAAAACTATCATTCCTCGTTTCTTCATTAGTTCGTCCTCCGAATTAGTCTTCATCTTCATCGGCTTCTCCCCCTCCAAACCTATCTTCATCTTCACCAGCTTTTCCTCCAAATTAGTCTTCATCAGATTTTCCTCATTTCTTCTTTCTGAGCAACTATGAAAATTTTATTGAGCTAAAATCCTAAAAAATATGACACTTTCGTTGTATTTTATTTTTTAAAAAAAGAGCGACAAATTTTAACCCTAAAATTTGAACATAAACTTTATGGGCCGAGTTGGTCTGGCTGGCAATAAAAAAATTAAATAGAAATGAATATCCATGTGTACAATACAGGTGTCACAATTTTATTGGAGTCAAAACACAAAGCTATGCCCGGACTCCGTACAAAATAATTTTTTCAAGTATTGACACCCCGAAATATCTCAAAAATATCTTTTTATTTCTTTACAAGGTATATGCAATATTTGTTTGATCATATTTATATATACATAAATATATAGCAAAAAATCCCAAGCAAGGTTAGAAAGCAATTAAAGGAGTTATATATATATATTCTCTCTAATCCTTTTAATAAAAGCAAATAATTATGAGGGTCGTGTAAGATGGAAATGTTATCAATATATATAAACAAAATATATCTTTTCCATTCTTTGCATGTTAACATTATGTAATAATTAATGTTTATAAATACCATATCTAATAGAAAAAATTAAATGATATCAATATATAGCTTCCATATGTGTTAAGTTTCTTGTGTATATATAACATCAAAATTCTCTTGAAAATTCATTCAAAAATATAAAGTAACTCTCACCACATACTTGACTCACAATTGTTCCATCCCTTTTCTTTACATTTATTTTTTACATGAATCTGATGTGTTCCCACCACCATCTACTCCGCCATCACTGTCCCTTTTCCCTTCTCTCATCTCATGCATGCATGGTTCTATGAGTTACACCCACAATCGCTTCTATAACATCAATTTTTCCCCTTACACCCACACTTGTCGCAAGGCGCTGATGTTTTGTGGTGTAGGTGGAGGAAAAGGCCGCCGTCGGCATGGAGAACATGTGGGAGAGCAGCACAGCAGGGGTGGAGGTCATTCCCGCACTTGCGACAGTGGTAGACGAAGCCGGCGATATCTTGGCCGCAAGCGTCGCAGCAGCGAGGGCAGTCCCCGGGCGGGTAAGGTAGGAATTGAAAATAACAATTTGGGTAAAAGAGTGGCAGAGAGCTGAGGCGTTGGGGGTGGCATCTACACAGTGAGTGTGGAGATCAAAATCGCAGAGCGCACAGTTGAAGCGGGATCTAATGCCGACTTGGTGTCATGCACCCATCGCATTTGAATGGAACGTCAGAATACACAAAATATAATTTGTGTTCTGGGTGGCTAAAGTGATTTAGTTCACCGTACTTCATGGTTCTCTGTAAAAATTGCAAAGAGAGAGAGAGAGAGAGAGGGTTAGGGATCTTCTTATCTGCTTCGGTTTGAGTTCTTTCAGAGAAAGAGAGGAAGAGAGAGAGAGAGTTAGGAGATGGAAGGAAATTTAAAGAGCGGATAAATTTTTAAAAGAATTATTTTTATTAATTTTATAGACGAAAGCAAAAATTAAAAATTAAATAGCCGAGCTCATTGACGCGAGCGAGCTTGTAACTCAAGGAGTTCATAGATCAAGATGCTTGGGATGGTTCAACCGCTGCCCCATCGGTTGGTTTGAATCATTGGGCCGACGACTTGGTCGCCCGATGCTACTAGTACAGGCGAAATGCCTGAATTTGATGAATTAAATATTAAACAGCGGAAGTGATGCCAATAAGTAACGGCTCGCTCAAATTTTTTTATTTATTTAGAAATATGTATTTTAATTAAAGTTTATATATATTATAAAATCAAAAATAAAATAAGAAAAGAACTGATCATTAGTTTACAGCTAACAAATTATTATTTTTTTTATTTTCATTTTTTGCTTTTTTATAAATAATATTTTCATATTTTTGTCTTTTAAACTTTTATTTTCATTTTTTTTGTTTCCGGCAG